AATTCATGGGTTTATCCGTGAAAAAAATTCGGGGTAAAATCCACTGGGTTTGAAAAACTCAAACCCACTCAACCCCATGGGTATCCGCGGGTTCATGGGTACCCACAGGTTTTTGTCTTAAAAAATTTACAATAACAAGTTGCTATCAAAATTAAAGTCAAATATCAATCTCTCAATACAAATTATCCATATAAAATACCATTCTAGAAAATTCAAGCAAATAACAAATTATCCATAAATAACATGATTAATTGAAAGCTTCTTCCTTTCAATTAAGTTTCTTCACTCTCCACTCGATAACCTCAACTTCATTCTACACAATTAGAAAGAAAAAATTAGACATGTCTCCACAAACATAAATAAGATAAGTTGTTTAGAATATTATATATATCGAGAAAATTAATTATATGGGTGTGGGTGGGTACCCATGGGTCGGGTTTACCTAAACCCAAACCCAACCCAACCCGATGAATATTGAACGGGTTTAAACCCAAACCCGGCCCAAAACCCGTCAACACGGATTTTACCCGCGTTGACCGAGTTGGGTAGGGTGGGTACCCGTGGGTTCGGATTTTGTTTTCATCCCTAGAGGAAGGTGAGGTATGAAATTTGATAATGTAATGGGGTGTATAACTTATTGTTGTATAGTTTTTTTGGGAAACACGTGATAAAAATAGTGAATTTTAGCAGGAAAGAGACATTAATGATGCAACAAATCAAAAATCGGCCTTATGAACCAAAATCAAGTACCTGTTACCTTGTGAAACAATATTGTTTCTGGTAATATGATGAGGTGGAGTAAGTTTTATAGACACTGAATTCCAGAAAATTGAATAAAAAATCGCCTATCCCGTCGGTTTTCGGGAAATGAGCATCTCACAATCGTTGCTAGCTTTTACTCGGCCCGTTGGCCGATTAATTTGGTTTATAAAACTTTCATCTTGTCGTCATTGTGCTTTCTGGTTTTTTTCAGGCTATGATAAAATCTAAGGAAATAAAGAACGAACAACATGATTTGGGATAGGAACCGTCGTTGTCGTATCCCTAGAAAATGGTGGTAAACACGGACTCACCTGCCAAACTGGTTTGGATTGAGATTTTTATCGGGTATCAGGGAACCATGTGATTATAAATTAGACTTGATCAAAAGGGGCCAAAACTTGAAATGCAGCCTGTTTGACCGACCCATGCCAAATTCTAATTATTCTTTACTTTTAAACTTTTATTTGAAAATAAAAAATAGTGAAAGAAAAGAGATGACTGCCATTTGCACATCACTTATTCGGGAATAAAACCATAGAAATTCAAAAAGAACTGAAAATGTTAGGATCGTTTTAATGTTTAAAATAACCAAATAGATCTTTCTGTTTAGTTTTTTACTAACAAATACCAAACGATTCCCTATAAAATACACTATGATTTGATCATTATGATATCAAATAATTATATAATATATATTTGAAATGATAAAAATTGGACTAATTGGGTTGGTCGAGGTTGAACCATTGAATAACTTTAAAATACATTATATTTTAGCCACTAAGATATAAAATAATAGCATAATATATTATGCCAGAGAAATAGCTTGTTTTAGAATGTCAAACCAATGATGTTCATTTGTTTTACTTGATGGCCAAATCCCGTGTAGGTCAAACCAACTCAACTCTTTTATTTTATGGTTAGCGGTTAGCCCATTAGATACCATGCATTAGTTTATTGTTAAATTTTTTATTTTTAGCAATAAAAAGAAGTATTGTTTTTGTCTCTTCATATATATTTTATCACCACGGAGAAATAAAAGGGCTTAATGAAAAAATTGACACTCTTGAACCCGTTTAAATCCGCATGTGTACGGTAAGTTGGCCCGTTCCACAGAGGAAAGAGGAAAAAATTGACACTCCCTATTCTATCATTCCTACAAACGCTCCTGGAGCAGGAAATTTGAAATGGGGGAAGGGTTTTTTCCTCTCTGCTATTATATCTTTTTAATTTAAAAAGATGCAACAAATGTACTTAGTGTGATTGGTTATGATCCTTACTTTTCCTTAAAATGGTCATGGTTCGAATCCCACTACGTGTCTTTTTAATGAATTAAAAAAAGTAAGTGTGAAGACCAAAATGTCCTTCCTACTTTCACTCTCGTTGCAGAAAATTTGAAATGGGGCTCCCGTTTTTCCCTTCGGTGTATTATATTATGTGTAGATTACATACCACCGAGGGTTGAAAGTTCTATGTAGTGATCTCTAATTATTGGTTTAATAATATAGGGGTCACTTTGTAATTGCCCATCTCCACGTTGCATGTAATCAGGAGTCGGGCTAGGGTTTGGTTTCTTTTAAATACTTTGGCTAGGGCAGCAGCCGATGGTAACAGAGAACAAGGAGAATAATAATTTTCAGCCCGAGAGCCTCAAGCTCTCCGTGGAGTAGTCCCGTTCACATCGAACGGGGAAACCACGTAAATCGCGTGTTGTCTTTTTCGCATTTTTACCGTTCATCAAATTTTACATGGTATCAGAGCTGGTCTGATTCGGCCTAGCCTTCATTATGTCCGACGACGAGAACTCTCCGACGTCGGGTTCAAAGTTGAAGTCAGTGGCCTCCGTGTCCATGCCGTTGCCGCCACATCTCCACCTTCACCCTTCCGATAGCCCTAGTCATGTCTATGTGGGCGAGCTGCTCAGTGACGTCAATTACGGTGAGTGGGTAGTGGATTTCACTGACTCTCTCATCGCGAAGAACAAACTATGCTTCGTGGATGGAAGCCTTCCCCCGGCGCAATCGCCGACTGAAGCTGAAGCGTTGCGGCAGTGTAACGCAATGGTCAAGGGATGGCTCAAGTCCTCCATGACGAAGGAAGTCCGCAGCAGCGTGCGGTTTGCCTCCACGGCGCGAGAGATTTGGGTTGATTTGCAATCGCGATTCGGCCAGAGTAGTGCGCCGCGATTGTACGAGCTCAAAGGGACAATCATCTCGCTTCAGCAGGAAAAATCGCCAGTCTCCGCCTTTTACACGAAGCTGCGCGGACTGTGGGATGAGATTCAATCCCTCACGCCCTCACTCGAATGCACATGTGCTGGCTGCAGCTGTGATGTTAAACGTCGACAACGTGAGGTACGTGAAAGCGAAAGGCTATTTGATTTTCTGATGGGATTGGATGATGCATTTTTGATAGTCAAATCGCAAATTTTGGCGATGAAGCCAATTCCCAGCCTTGGTGAAGCATATCAACTGGTGATGAATGATGCCCAGCAGCGGCAAATTTCTAGTAATCGGCATCCCAGGCCTGAAGCTGCCGCCTTCCAAGCTCAAGGAGAGCGTCGCCAAGAGCATCCCGAGCGTCCGCCTCCTCGGCCAGATAGAGATGCAGATGATCGTCCGCGTTGTGCTCATTGCCGTCGCCGGGGTCACTCCAAGGAGAGTTGCTATCAGCTGATCGGTTACCCGCAGCGTGGGGCTGTCCGAGCCGAAAACGACCGCGGCTCCTCTCGCGACGATTGTGCAGTGCGCTCCTCTTCTCAAGCAGCCCAAGTCGAGGCCTCGGCGAGCCCTGTGCCGGGTCTGTCCGCAACTCAATTTGCTGCTTTGAAGGCTTTGCTTGGCTCGGATATCTCCCATCCATCCTTGGCCTCGATCGAGCCTTCATCCAACATGGCTGGTACGTTCCCTACTCCATCTATTAATTCAGCAGCATGGGTTATAGATTCCGGTTGCAACGAACATATAGTGAATGACATTTCCCTGTTGGATGCCGAGTTGGATGCTTGTCCAACATTGCAGGTGAAAATTCCTAATGGTACAGGGGTTAAGGTTCACAGTATTGGTTCGACTAAGTTGTCGAACGAGTTATTATTGCGTCGGGTTCTTCATGTTCCTGCCTTCCAGTGCAACCTTGTCTCGGTTAGCCGGATTACAGCAGACCTACCAGTAGCATTGATTTTCTTGCGTGACTTCTGTGTAATCCAGGACTTACTCTCGAGGAGGCTGATTGGGATGGGTAAACATGTTGATGGCCTCTATTATCTCAGCTTATTCGATGGCAATCACCCCATGGCCAACACTGTGCGGAGAACGCTTGATGAGTCAGAGATATGGCATTCCCGGCTTGGACATCCATCCTTGGCGAAGATGAATTTGTTACAGAACACTCTTGGCTGTTCCTTTATGCATACTGCAGATCCTTTTCGTTCTTACTTACGTGCTAAGCAAACCCGTGAAGTTTTTGTTTCCAGTACTATCAAATCCAATTCATGTTTTGAACTGATTCATGTGGATATTTGGGGGAGTTATAAGACTGCTTCAACTTTTGGTGCTCATTATTTCTTGACCATCGTAGATGATTACAGTCGTGCAGTATGGGTATTTTTGATGAGATATAAGTCGGATGTGGGTCGACATTTATTATATTTCTTCAATATGATCGCCACTCAATTTGGTGGTCAAGTACGACGTATACAGGCTGATAATGGACCTGAATTTGCCACTAATACATTGGTAAACTATTATGAAGAGAAGGGAATCCTCCTCCAGACTTCTTGCACAAATACTCCTCAGCAAAACAGAGTAGTGGAACGCAAGCATCGACATTTACTTGACATTGCACGTGCATTGCGGTTTCATGCAAACTTGCCTATTCGCTTCTGGGGCGAGTGTGTTCTCACGGTAGCCTATCTGATCAACAGGATGCCACTGCTTTCTATCGGGAACAAAACACCCTACCATGTGATTTTCTGGAAAGACCCTGTGTCCAGTCATCTTCGCAGCTTTGGCTGCCTCGTTTACGCTCGGGATAATCATCATGGCCTTCATAAATTTGGCGAAAGGGGGAGAGCAGGCGTCTTCATGGGATATCCTTCCGTTCAACGAGGTTATCGCGTCTATGATCTTGAAACGAAGCAGATTTATACGTCTCGAGATGTTAAATTCCTCGAGCACGTCTGTCCTTTCCACGTGAACAGCGAGTCCGTGCTCAGTCCAGCGGCGATCTCAGGGCCTCGGTTTATGGAAGCCCCTGACGCTACTACCGACGTTGACACTGCTTCGCCAGTAGTCCCTTCCACTTCACCAGCTGAAGATGCGCCTCATGAAGTTTCAGTTCCTGCCGAGTCTTCTCCTGGACCTTCCACCGAGATATCTACTGCATCGTCTTCACCGAGTCACCCATCCTCACCGAGTTCTGCAGGTGACACCTCCTCACAGCCTGCTGCCGACGTGTCCCCGCCCGCGGAGCCTCCTCTCCGTCGTGGCGACCGAGTGTGACGTCCCTCCACTCGCCTGGCTGGTTATGACGTCGAGCTGCCTGGCATGGCTCACTCTGCCACAGCTTTATATCCTCTCGACGATTATCTCAGTTATCATCGGCTTTCCGTAGCTCACCATGCATTTGTTGCTGCAGTTACTGCTATCGATGAGCCCAAGTATTTTTTCCAGGCTGTCCGTTATAAGCAATGGCGAGACGCCATGCAGGTTGAGATTTCTTCTTTAGAAGCTAATGGCACATGGACCTTGGTTTTCCTTCCTCCGGGCAAGAAAGCTATGGACTGTAAATGGGTTTACAAGATCAAATTCAATCCGGATGGTTCTATTGAGCGCTATAAAGCGCGCCTTGTTGCTAAAGGGTTCACCCAGGTTGAAGGGATTGATTTCCACGACACTTATGCTCCTGTTGCTAAGCTGGTCACTGTCCGATGCATCATCACCATTGCTCTGCACCGAGGATGGCACATTCATCAACTCGACGTTAATAATGCCTTTCTTCATGGCGATTTAGAAGAAGAAGTTTATATGAAGATCCCACAGGGTTTTGCGCGTCCTAGTGAGACCAGAGTATGCCGTCTCAACAAGTCTCTCTATGGTTTGCGACAGGCCTCCCGGAATTGGTATAAGAAGTTTACACAGGCATTAGTCGAGCTCTACTTTGTGCAAAGTCGGGCTGATCATGCCTTGTTTGTCTATCGTCGTGGTTCCACCTTTGTTGTGGCCCTCATTTACGTCGATGATGTGGTTCTGACCGGGAATGATCTCTCGTTCATCAAGCAGGTTAAGTCTTTCCTTCATGATCGCTTCACCATTAAGGACTTGGGTCCTCTTAAGTACTTCCTTGGCATTGAGGTTGCGCGCTCACCTAAGGGTATGGTTCTCAATCAGAGGAAATATGTGTTAGACATTCTCACCGATGCAGGTTTGACTTCCGCTCGTCCCTGCTCCACTCTGATCGAGCAGCAGCATCGTCTGGGCCGTGACCCTTCTCCTCCAGCACGCGATCCTGTAGCATTTTGGCGTCTGGTTGGCCGCTTGTTATATTTGACGGTCACACGCCCCGATATTGTTTATGCTGTCAATCTCCACAGCCAAGCAATGCAGTCACCGACTCAGGCCCACGAAGACGCTTCCGTTCGAGTTCTTCGGTACCTGAAAGGGTCCCCTGGTCGAGGTATTTTCCTGTCTGCCACCACGCCTCTCACGTTGACTGGTTTTTGTGATGCTGATTGGGGTGGTTGTCCCACTACTCGCCGTTCCACGACGGGCTTCTTTATCACTCTTGGGGGGTCCCCCATTTCTTGGAGGACCAAGAAGCAGACTGTTGTTGCGCGTTCTTCCGCGGAAGCAGAATACCGGGCCATGGCCACTGCTGTCAGCGAGATCATCTGATTGCGCTGGCTTCTTTCTGATCTCGGTGCTCCTCCTTCTGGTCCTACAGTTCTGTATTGTGACAATCAGGCTACTCTTCATATTGCAGCCAACCCGGTGTTCCACGAGCGTACCAAGCACGTCGAGATGGATTGCCATTTTGTTCGTGAGCGTGTGCATTCCCGTGAGATTGCTCCTACCAAGATTGCCACCTCCGACCAGCCCGCTGATTTATTCACGAAGGGATTGAGTGTTGATCAGTTTCATCATCTCTTCGTCAAGCTCGGCCTTCTTGACTTTCACTCCTTCGCTTGAGGGGGAGTGTAGTGATCTCTAATTATTGGTTTAATAATTTAGGGGTCACTTTGTAATTGCCCATCTCCACGTTGCATGTAATCAGGAGTCGGGCTAGGGTTTGGTTTCTTTTAAATACTTTGGCTAGGGCAGCAGCCGATGGTAACAGAGAACAAGGAGAATAATAATTTTCAGCCCGAGAGCCTCAAGCTCTCCGTGGAGTAGTCCCGTTCACATCGAACGGGGAAACCACGTAAATCGCGTGTTGTCTTTTTCGCATCTTTACCGTTCATCAAATTTTACATTCTATTTATTAGTAATTTTGGCATCCCATTGACGGAGGTGGATCACAAAGTAGAGACGGGTTTGTATACTCTTTGACACCAGCTATAGCAGCCCACCATGTGATTTGAATGGGAGGTGGAAATCGGCACGACAATAGAATATCCTGAATAATTGAAATACAATCTAAAGTCAATATGGTTGAATACGAAATTGATTACCTTTGCAATTAATATTTAAATATATAAATAAATAATGGTTAGAACACCTCTAATCCCCGAGCATTTTATATACCATAGATTTGTAGGTTTAACCAAGTGAATTGTGATTGAAAATTTTGGTGATGAGAATTTGAGGTGAAATAAGTCTAATAAAAACTAATTGAAGTCCTCATTGGTTGGGAATCAAATCTTCATTGAACTGATTCATTATAGGTTCTTATTTATTTTTATGCTAATGACTATTTATTAGCTAAACCTTATTTGGATTCTTTTTTATTAGTCAAACCTATCGAAATACTAAGAATTAGTCAAATGCTAACTTCCAGTTAAAAATTTTGTTCGTAATATTGACTTGACAACATGATACTGACTTGGAAGAGACACATGGAGGTCAAGTATGTAGTCAAAATCGCGTTTTAAAACTTAAAAACTTACGATTTTACGTTTTTAGTTCACTAAAACGCTTCTACACAAAATCTCGGTTTTTATAACTTATGTAGTTAAAAACTCTACTTTAAAACTTAAAAACTTACGATTTTACGCTTCTAGATCACCAAAACGTTTCTAGTTTCTACGTAGAAACTCGCTTTTGACTACATTACTCAACATTCCAAAATTTAAGTATTTTAACTAAGAAAAGAGTTACAAAATTATTAACGATAACGTAAAAATGACTAATATTTTGATGCATTACAAAAGATTTGGCTAATTAATAGCATTTTAATAGGTTTTGATAATATAAAAGAATCTGAAAAATGTTTGGATAATAAATAGACATTACCCTTTTTTTTATCTAAGATAAGCCTCCAGGGCATGGTTGCACAACAAAATTATAAGACAACAATAATAAAGAAAGGTAATCCCAGGGGCGGAGCCAGGATTTCGAGACCGGGTGGGCCAAAAATAATTAAATATAAATAAAACTAAAATAATTATTTTAAAAGTACACAACGTTTTTTGAGATAATTGTTCAAAATAGCATCTAAACTAAAAATTTTAGCTATCTTTCATTTAATATAAATAACTGATTCTTTAACAAGAAACTCATCATTTTAATTCCATTGACAATCATATCTCTGTTAACCCCTGAATCATATAGTTTCTATTAAGGATAATGATCAGAATTTTAATTAGAAAAATCACCATGTGAAAATTAAATAGAGGTTGACTTTTTCATATGACGTTGGATTAAAGTAATATAGAGGTTGACTTTTTCATATGAAGTTGGATTAAAGTAATAAAAGAACAAATAAGGAGTGGCTAAAGCAAATGCGATGTAGTTGTGGATCGAACCTTTGTACTTCTCAATAAAAAGCAAATGCGATGTAGTTTATCTCCCAATAGACTACATCTCTATTACATGACACAATATACAACCGAGTTGTACTTATGCAAATTTTATCTGAATATATTTAGGGTCCTAGGGGCCAAGACTAATCCCGGGTGGGCCGGGGCCCACCCTACACTCTATGTAACTCCGCCCTCGGGTAATCCGTATGCAACCGGACTCCCGATGAAAGAGCATAGAACCATTTCCATCGCCACCACCTATACACTTTCCTTCATGGTCCCAAGTGCAAGTGGTCACTGGAGTCCTTCCAGGCCTAGCAAGCTTGGGCTTGATGACCTATAAGTAGAGGAAATGTGAAGATATCTTTTAGCATAGAGTCACATGTATTAGTTTAATACTGATTCAAACATATCGCAAGTCATTTATGCACTCATTTTGGAAATAAAGAACAATGCTGACTACATATGACTCCGTAACATTTGAGTAGATTATCGTGACTATAAAAATTATAAATCCATAGAATCCTTAAAGTGAGATGGGTAGTCTTCCATTGGGGTCTTTTGGTTGCCCATTAAAAGCTATTATATCTTGACTAAAAGGTTGAGTAAATTTCAGTAGCTTTGAAACGAAGGATAATTGCTCACAATGTAGTCCTCATATAGATCTGCGGGTCTCTATATGGGAAATCCTGGAAGTCTCCATTCAGAAAACAAGGATATCTTGAATGTTTTAAGTATATGAAAGCACACATGATACTGGACAAAGCAAGGTGTTAAGCAGATTGTGAAGTAGCCTCTCAAGACTAAAAAGTGACCAACCTGCTTCTTATTTTTGAAATCATTCACATTCCATATTCGCAGAGATCCATCATTTGATGATAAGACCGTCTCCCTTGCTTTGGGATGCCACTCTCCACAAGTCAACTCAGTAATATGATCCTTGGTGTTCTTCAAATCGCGAATGTATATGTGTTCGGGTTAAGATCACCCTTAGTCACTTGGCTAAGTCAATCCCAGCCTTTCATGTTCATTAAAATTTTAAAGCTACAATTAATTCATTTTAATGAAGGATAACAAAGTAATTATACATTTTAATTTTGTAATTAAAAAAAAGGGAGTCCTTCCCTCACCTGTTTGTCGCACGCGGAGATGGATCCATATAGACGACGGCGGCAAGGGACGACGACAGTGAGAGATGACGGTCAACAGCGTTTTGTGTTAGGGGAGAGAGAGAGAGGCGGAGGTAGAGGAGAAGAGAGAGAGGCAATGGCGACCGTAGAGGAGAGAGAGCGGCGGCGGTAGAGGAGAAGAGAGAGAGAGAGAGAGACGACGGTGGCGACGAGGAACAACGACGACGGCGGCGAGCAACAACGACGGAGAGCGACAACGACCGTGGAGGAGAGAGAGGCAATGGCGGTTGTGGAGGAGAGAGATGATGACATTGTCAGATTTGTTGGCGGCGACGATTTCGTAATTTTTATCGGCCTAGTTTTTAATCGATTATGTTTATATCTTTTATCATTTAAGTTTGTATTGTTTATATGACTATTTTCTATATATTGTAATTGAATGTTTGTTTGTCTAGTTTGTATACTTTATGTTATGATTTGTACACTTTCTATTCATTGATTTGTAATACAAGTTTACTGATTTGTATCAAAAGTAGTGACATTTTGTACTTTTAGTATGTTTTGTAATGTTTGTCGAGTTGTTTTGTAATGTTTGTAAGCTTTGTTATTTTTGTCCAACATATTTGTCATTTTTGTTATCCATGTTGGTAATGTTTTTTTATGAACAAATTAATAATACAAAACATACAAACTATACAAATCATACTGATATTATGTACAAAAGTACTAATGATACAAACTGACAACGTTTGCATTACAAACCATTATTCTTCCTTCAGACAACAAAATAGACAACAAAATATGATGTCGAGAGCCGACTCTCTCTCCACCACTGCCGCCACCGACGCTCTTTACAACCGTAGCTACCCCTCACTCTCTCCATCACTGTGCCTCTTCTCTCTCCTCCATCGTCGTCGACTCTCTCTCTCTCTCCACCACCATCGTCTCTCTCTCCTCTATTTTCCCGACGACCAGATCTGTTTTCTCTCTCTCCAACCCTGCCGCCTCCATTGCGATCGCCTTTCCCTTTCTCCATCGCCGTCGGGGCCGACGAGGTCTCCTTCCTCTCTCCATCGCCGCCGTCGCCCCCCTCTCTTCCACCGTTGTCGTCGCTGCCGTTCTCCGACGAATCTGTCTCTGGCGGTGTTTCTCGCTCCTCAACCGTCGTCGTCGCCATCTCTCTCTCCACCGACGGCGCTGCCTGTCTCTTTCTCCCTCTCCTCCACCGGCGCTGCGATCTCTCTCCTCCACCAGCGCTGGGTTCTCCTCCGCCATGTCTCTCTCTCTCTCTCTGGACAACGCAAGAAAGGGGAAATGAGAGACGGCTGAAGAGGAAATTCAGAAATAAATAATAATAAATAAAACAAAAAAAAAGGAGTTAATGAATTTCTGATAATACCAAAACTACCCTTCTCATTCAATAATAATTCATTAATTTATCTGAACCATTAAATCAATCCAAACGCTGAGGGTTACTTAGTCAAGTGACTAAGACCCCCCTCCCCCCAGTCACCAGATCCGGACTCCATATCTCCCTTTAAAAACCCGCCTAAAGTAGGGATTTTTCCAGAAATAGCACCTTTAAAAAAAAATTACAAAAATAGCACCCATGTAAAAAAAATTCCACTAATAGCACCCTTTTTAATAGAACGCACCTTGTAGATGCGTTTTACATATAAATCGCACCCTACAAGTGCGTTCCAAAAATAGATCGCACCCTAAAAGTGCGTTCCAAAAATCTGGAATCAAATCGCACTTTAGCCAAGCGATTTTTGGTCTGACCTAGTAAAATCGCATGGCCAAAATGCGATTTAGGTCTGACCTACTAAAATCGCATGGCCGAGGTGCGATTTAGAGCCAGACCTAGTAAAATCGCATGCCTGGGGTGCGATTTGTTTCTGCCAGACAAAATTGCATTGTGAGGATGCGATTTTAACATGCAAACCGCACCTTAAAGGTGCGGTTTTGGTCAATCAATTTCCGACATGCATGCAGACGTTACAGACGTGGGTCTGCATGGGCCTGCATGGCAGACGAAAATCGCATCTCTAAGGTGCGGTTTTCATCAAGATTTTGCCTATAAAAGGCCTCCCGGACAACCATTTCTCTTCACACCTCTCCTTCTCACTTCCCTTTTCAATTTTCTGTTGTAGCTCTATATTTCTTTAGTAGCTTTGCGGTTAACGTTAACTCGTAAGTTGATTTAGTATTACATATTTCTTTAGTAGTTTTGCGATTAACGTTAACTCGTAAGTTGATGTAGCTCTATATTTCTTTAGTAGTTTTGCGATTAACGTTAACTCGTAAGTTGATTTAGTATTACATATTTCTTTAGTAGTTTTGTGATTAATGTTAACTCGTAAGTTGATTTAGTATTACATATTTCTTTAGTAGTTTTGTGATTAACGTTAACTCGTAAGTTGATTTAGTATTACTTTGTATTGTTAATTTTTATTTTTGATTTTTATGATATTAACTTAACTACGGTTTTATCGCAGATGGCATTCCAAAAGTTCACGCTTGGCTTACGGTGGAATGGTTACACGGAAGAGACCGGAAAGGGTGCCACCTACGTAGGTGGCAATTTTCAGAAGATAAAGGTCGCTACCAGACCAATGCTTGAAGACCTCCATCAAATGTGCACTAACGTTACTTGCATGGATGGCACGAGAAAAGTTGATCGTATGGTGTACCGATATCCAAACAGAGAAAGTGGGTAATTGTGGCATGAGGAATATCTCATAACCACTCAGGATGAGGTAGACGCCATGCTCGAATTCATGAGGTCCAACAATCTTTCCAAAGCCGAGATGTTCGTTTACACCGAGCCGGTCGTAGGCGTTGGAGGTCATTCTGGACACGGTCAAACATCTGGTACCCATGGTGGAGGTGAATTATATGGCGATCATCCCTACCAAAGTTACCATGATCCTCATTCATATTTTCAGTACCAAGAGCAAGGTGAAGGTCATCATCAATCATATGAAGAAGAAGTTCAACCGGACCGGCCCAACCAACCTCAGTACAACTTCCTCTCAGGCAGCGGTAGTTTTCACAACTACCATTATGGAGCTGATGAAGGTGCCTTTTATGAGCTGGATCAGATGGAGGATGTCATGCCAGCACCAGTCAGTGACCCCTCCGACGAAGAAGGAGAGAACAACGTCAGTGCAGACAGCTCCGACCCTCTTGAAGGTGCCGATGATTCCGGACCAGAGTCAGACTCAGCTAATGATGATGAGGGGGCTCGTGACCGTGTACCAGTCCCCTACTACAATCACATTCCAGACGACAATTGGATGGTCGACAACGACATGGAGCCGCCAGAGGTCCCAATATGGGGTCCACTCACTGGGTTTATGAAGGGCCAACAATTTGGCTCGAAGAAGGATGTGCGTCACGCCATTGAGACAGAAGCAATGACTCGGCATTTTGAATGGGTCACAAATCATTCAAACACTAAAAGGCTCTTAGTCAGATGCTGTAATCATCAAGAGGGGTGCAATGTTAGGATTCGGGCCATCAACAGCAAGAGACACGGTTGCTGGGTCATATCCCGTGCGGTGAACACACACACATGTGTGTCATCCATAACTTCCCAAGGCCATCGACAGTTGAAATCCAGGGTGGTTGCTGCGGCTATCAAGCATCTAATTGAGCAAGAGCCAGACCTAAAGGTGAAAGTCATAATCGCTGACATTGCAAGTCGTTATGGTTATATGATTAACTATAAGAAGGCGTGGCATGGAAAGCAGAAAGCTCTGGCCGCCGTCTTTGGTGATTGGGAAGAATCATATGCATTCCTTCCCAGGTTAATTTTGGCATTGGAGGCGTCTAACCCCGGCACGGTTTTCTCCCCTCGATACCAAGATGAAGAGATACAACCCCCAGAGCCAGGTAACAAGCGCCATTTCAGACGACTTTTCTGGGCATTCAAGCCATGTATTGATGGTTTTGGCTTCTGTGTCCCTGTCATCCAAGTGGATGGAATATTCCTTACCGGCAAGTACAAGGGCACTCTCCTGATTGCCAGTGGGGCGGATGCAAACAGAAAAGTCTTTCCTTTAGCCTTCGCCATCGTTGAGGGAGAGAATGCTGATAGCTATGGATGGTTTTTCCGGCAAATTCAGATCCATTGTACTAGGAGGACGAACCTTACAATAATCTCTGATCGGCACGCCGGCATCAGAGCTGCCATCTTAGGTTTAGATCCAGCGTGGAAGTGGTCCCAAAGGTGGTGCATACGACACTTCAAGAGCAACTGGAACCATCATTTCAAGCGGAAGAAGCTTGCTGATAATTTGTGGTGGATTGGTAAGCTTGTAATTAGCTGTATAATTTAGTTCCAATTACAATATCTTAGTACATTTGGCGATACGTGCTCTGGTTAGACTCTTTCTAAAGTGATGCATGCCTAAGGAAATGGGGTTTTAAGCGATTATCATGATCCTCCCATTTCCTGGGAAAATCGGGTTTTAAGCGATCTTCGGATCCCCCCTTTTTCTGTCAAACAGGCTGTGTTTCTAAGGATATGTATACCTCTCCTAAGAGTATAACGAGAGTACTTTCGGGTTGTTCGAATTTGTGCTAAATTGCCAAAAATTGACTAACATGTATACTTTTCTGTGTCTTCCTCAGCGGTTGCCTATCAAGAGAAAAAATATCTGGAGAAGATGCAGAAATTGCGCGAGTTATGCCCTGAAGGGGCACAGTGGTGCACTGGACATGACCTATCCATGTGGACATTTCATAAAGATGGAGGGACAAGATGGGGTATTGCCACAACGAACTCAGGTGAGAGTATCAACTCTGTCTACAAGGCCGTTCGTGCACTGCCAATCTCTGCCATTGTCGAGATGACTTTTTGGAAAACGAATGCATGGTTCGTCAACTGACTCCACTGGGCAAGAACGAACGAGGCACAGGGTAAGGTCCATGCCTATAAAGTCATGGAAGTAATGGAGAATGACAATCGCAAGAGCAGTCGACATAGTGTAACCGTTATGAATCGGGCAAATGGCGAGTATAGCGTGACGACCGGGCATCGAGAGGACGGTAGACGGGGGGGCCACCACCATGAAGTTGTGGTCAATTTCAGGACAAAAGTTGGTGAGTGCTCCTGTCAGAAGTATCAAGGGAGAGGGTGGCCTTGTTCTCATGCAATGGCCGTAATTAAAAAAAGGAGCAAAGACCCACGTCACTTCGTTAGTCCGTTCTACAATATCGACTCACTCAAAAACACATATGGACGGAGTTTCCATGCATTGCCTGATGAAGTTTATTGGCCGATGTACGAAGGAAAATTGATCATCCCGCCGTTCGGACAGAGGCGTGAGCCGGGTCGCCCGAGGAAAAAGAGAATTCAGAACGAAATGGATCAAAGTGGAAGACCACCACGAGGCCCAAGACGATGTTCAATATGCAAAGTTCCAGGACATGATAAACGAAGATGTCCAGGCCCGATTGGTCCGCAAAATCCGGGTCCTGATGTGCCAGACTCAGCTAATGCGACATAGTTTGCTTTGTTCATTTTTTTTCATTCCATTCCCAACTCCAAGCTCCAGCTGGTCATGCCACAAACTCCTTGAATTCGAGCTCAAAGTTTGTACCTCAAACTGTTTTCCTGCCTTAGACAAAAACAAGCAGATTCCATAGTGCATGAGTAGGGTTTTGATGGCGTTGGAAAACAATCCTCCTGACCTTATTAATAACAAACCAAATGCATAAAACTATAAACAAACATCCAAGGTTCAAAATGCGACCCTAACCTTGCATTTCCAGTGAAGGGTTTTGAGAGATACGGCCTTCCAAAGTACCCTTCCCAAAACTGTCTCAACACTTTAGGAAAAAATCCAGCCTTGTTCGTATTAACTTGATGTTGGGTTAGAAGCCATAATTTTCAATCAAATTACTTATCTCCACTGTATTGTTGATTGAACTAATTGGGATTATATAAAGATAAAAGGCATAGTTCTAATGGGATAAAATAAGACCAAATTGAAACAACAATCAATTCGATAAACTAAGATAATAGGAATAGTTCAAATTACATATAAATTAAATTCAACTCTCATAAATCCGCTCAAGGAAGTCCACGAGCTTCGGTCGATCCCACGGTCTTATTGCTCCTTGTACGACGACCGATGGGAGTAGCAATCGGTGACGGCGGTAGTTTGGCGGTCGTCGGTGCTATGTCGGCGGGGAATCGACACTTCCGGGGTTGAGCGGGGGACATCCACGGAAGCTCGGTGAGTAGTCGGAGGGCGACCCAATGGCGTAAAATCGTGGTGTGCCGTCGCGGAGGAACCATCATGCCAAGTAACGGATGATGTATGCCGGGGAGATGGTGGGTAGACCGGGCGGTAGTCGTGGTAACCTCCTTGGCGGGGAGATGGTGGGTAGACCGGGCGGTAATCGTGGTAACCTCCTTGGCGGGGAGATGGGAGGTAGATCGGGCGATACTCGTAGTACGATCCTTGACGAGGATCGTTGTATGAGATCGGGGTGGGACTCGGAGCACCTTGATGGTATGTCGCCCGAGGATCGTAGTACGAGCCTTGGTGGCCAGTTTGGCTGGAACTCTGGCCGGCGCCTTGGGGTGAACTCGGGCCGCCAACTTGGGGAGAACTCGGGCCGCCGACTTGGGGGGATCTCGGGTCGACACCTTGGGGAACAACCAATGGAGTTGGTACTTTCCACCCGGGATATGGCGTGACTTCGGGCTCGATGGGCCTTTCCCGGACCCTCTTGCTTGGCTTCCTCTCGTATGGTGGTGGGGGATCGGAGACATCAACTTGTACCGGAGGTGGCGGCGGTGCGGGCATAGGCGGGTATCTACGATGATCCCTCCCTTGAGCTCTGATACAGCCAAGAAGACTGTTTGCCATCCGCCTGATGAAGCTCACATCTTCATTTCCAAGCTCCACTCTCCCGGTGGTAATGTCTTTAATCCGCTCAATCCCGTCAGTCTAAATCACAAAACAATAAGTTAGGAAACAATTTAGGAACTAAAATAATACATTTAATTATGTAGAGTCGAATATACTTACTAATGCACCATCGGCAGCACCCTCCGGAGTCATGTAACGGACCGATGTTTGCCGATATCGATCCAAGTACGGGTCATGATACCCCATTCTCCCCACTGCTGATGGAGTGACAATATCTTGCGATTGTCGTTCATTCCACAAGGCGATGAATTTCGCATGCTTCAAGGGCCAATCTCGAGTACCTTGCCGCCCATCTCGACCATGGAAGGCCTTTTGACTTTCGGGGACCTCCAATGGAATGCACTGCTCCCGACCAAACTGACGGAGGCATCGATCCGGCAAGTGCCACTCCACGATCCCAAAACAAATGAGAGGGACCCTCGTGCACCATTGGCCGATATGCTCGGGGAATTGCTGGAGATGCCATTGCACGATGTTCTCCGGGTATGGATCGAAGATGATCTACACACGCAAAATGAGTAAATTAAGATAGTTAGAATTGGAAAAATACATGTCTCAATGGCAAAAAGGTATAAATAGATCGGAGTATAGAAGTTACCTCTCCTTCCCAAAGTCGCTCAAACCTCCGCCGATACTCATCCAACTTGTGTTGGGCAAGGTTGTCACAAGTGGAGTGTCCGATCCACCTTATTAATAAAACAATAATCGAAATTACAATAAGCTAAAACACAAGGGAAAATCAACCAAGAAAAAACATGATGGGTATGAGAAGTTTACCTTGTTCCATAAGCTTCCCCTCTTAGGGGATGATCGATTGGCCAATCCCGGTCGGGACGTTGTACCGGTGCAAGCCATGGCATATGCTCCCAAGCCCAAAATTGGACGATGAACATTGCGCCGCCGACCTCCCTCACAGCTTTTAGAGAGGCATTGCACAAGTTGTGGTAGATATTAGCTAGGCAAGCGGATGCCCAACTATACTCCCCCCATCTCCTCCCAACTACCGAGGATGATCCTAAGCCATCCACAACTAAGGAGATTGCTTGCTTTTTTGGAGAAGAACACTCCTCCGATCATGCCAATGAGATAGACCCGAGCATATCTCTCGATCTCATCCTCCGGACTTTCCTCGGTTAGGGGATGACTCTCGTAATGCTCTCTAAAGTACCTCGTCAACCAAGTAATTGACACTTGGTGTTTCCTCATTGGTGGCAAGCGATCGGTCGCATCAACATGCCCCTTCACCGGTACTTTTACTCCCAAAACACTATAGATGAAATGAACCCAACCGGGCATACCGTCGACATCGTCGGGGGCATGATCACTCACGCACACGGGTTTGCCGTCGATGGGGAGATGGGTTAGGATGGCGACATCCTTTAGTGTGATGGTGGCCTCTCCTTCTCTCAAGTTGAAGCAATGGGTCTCCTTTCTCCATCTCTCAACTAGGGCGGTGATGAGTTGGCGATCAACTTTGATGCCGTTAAAATGCCTAATCGAGTCCAATCGTGCCCTTTTGAGAAAGGGCAAGATGGCTGGGTGGAATGGGAGCACATTGGTCGTACCCCTGTAGCGGATTATTGTTTGTGCCTCCTAGAGAAAATTTACACGTTAATTATTATATATTAGTAAGGGTTTAATCCTTATAACTAAATTACTTAAATTAAATTATTTAACTTCAAGCAGAATTTTATTATCATACTTTAGACATTTCATATAATTAACATAATAGCATTATAAATTAATAATAATCTAAAGAGATACATACATATTATCATAAAAACGAACATCCTAAATTAATTAACATAATAACATTATAAATTAATAATAATTTAAAGAGATACATACATATTATCATAAAATGTCATCATAAATTAATTAACATAATAACATTCTAAATGAATAATTTCATTAAGAGATACATACTAATTATCGTAAAATAAACATACTAAATTAACTAAATTAAATGACATTGTTAATGAATCAATATTTTAAAGAGAAACATACATATTCAATTGTTTGAAATTAATAAAATTCTATTTGTACACATAAAAATAAATAGTAAGGACTGTTTGGTAAATTATTTAATCGTTTTGGTTGTTTTAAATAATTTAATCGAATACAAAGCAACACTCGTTAGACTCTTAGAAGAGGTATACATCTTCTTAGAAACGCAGTCTTGTTGACAGAAAAAGGGGGGATCCGAGGATCTCTTAATACCCGATTTTCCCAGGGAATGGGAGGATATGATAATCGCTTACAACCCCATTTCCTTAGACGTGCATCTCTTTATAAAGAGTCGAAGTAAGTGGCGCAATGTATTCGATTAAATTATTGAAAACAACCAACACGATTAAAAATTCAACATAAATTTATTTTATATTTCAATAAATACATTAACAAAATAAAAGAAGGACAAATGGTAAAGAATTGTATGTACCGGGTGAGCGTTCCAAACATCCCTTGACCGATGGTTGGGTTGGTCGTACAAGTCGGTTGGATCCAACGGTCCTTGCTCGAGATAATACCGTTGGTTGTAAATATCGACGTCCTCCGCAGCCTACGAGAAAATAACAACGAGGTTAGTAAATAGATTAATTAAAAAGCAAGATAAGAACAACAAAAATTAAACCCGAATAATGAGTACGTACCGCTTGAAATTCATCAACAAAAACTCCTTCTCCTTGCCACCAATCGGCCATTTTTTCGGCGCAATTCGGACAGAGCTTCGGCTCGGCTCGGCGTGTTTTGAGGATAAAACCTAAGAAATGTTTTCTAATGGCAGATCGGACTTTGCCGCAACCAATAGACCACTATTTCCTAGGCTTTTGGGAGGGGGAGGGTTTAGAGAGATAAAACTTAGAGAGAGAAGGAAGAATGGGTTGAAGGTGTGAAGAAATGAGAGGGGGAGGGGGGCTATTTATAGTTTTTCAGATCGCAGGCTCCAGGGGCGAGGCGGTAACTTTGCCCCGCGCGGATCGCATTCTCCCAATGCGTTTTCCGCTTCCCCAGGCGCAGATTGCACCCTCCCAATGTGGTTTGACTGACACCGGCGGGGATCGCATTGCTGGAGTGCGATCTGGGATCCAAGGCGCGGATCGCTCCGCTGGCGTGCGCTTAGCCGTTGGATCGGCTATCAATCCGACGATCTGGTGGATCGCAACGCGTCCTCCCCAAATCGCATCAGTCTGGTGCGTTTTATATTGTGGATTGCACCCCTCTGATGCGTTTTACGTGTAGATCGCATCTGTAAGGTGCGTTTTACATTTAAAACGCATCTTAGGGGTGCGTTCCAAAAAATAAGGTGCTATTAGTGGAATTTCTTTTACATAGGTGCTATTTTTGTAATTTTTTTTTAAATGTGCTATTATTGGAAAAATCCCCCTAAAGTAAGTCCATCGCGATCATATATCTGAAACAACAAGGAGATCAGAGAGCATACTTTCGTTTTGGCCTTAAATTTCTACCTTCCTACCAAAGAAATCTGAATGGGGAAAGAAAAATGGAGGTTAACTTACGTTGTGATTCCAGTTCTTCCTCATTACCATTAACCAGATTATTGGCAATAGGAGCAGGTTGTTCTGGTTGGACACCATTTTCAGGGACATTGACATTAGGAACAGGATCCACATTCATTTGATTTGCACCTTCCATCTGAATAAAATCAAGTTATTTGAATACATATTAGTTAACGATCTGCAGTTTTACTTACTACCGTTTAGTTATAGTGTTCTATTGTTTTACATTGAGAAGATACACAAAATCAAGTAGCATTACCATTATCATTTCAAAACAGGTTACAAATTCATGAATCTAACCTAGTAAGTTTAACTTTTTCTTACAATAAATAAGTATTCAATCACAATAACCTAGCAAGTCACACAACCACGCAAGCAAGATAACAAGGTTATGAAAGGAGAAGAGGATTACCTACCTTGAGATTGTTTGTAGTCTGTAGATTGTTGATTGTAGACTGTACTTGGTCAATGATCTGTAGTCCTTGAGGATCTATTCCAAAGGTTGCTACAAACACCAAAAACAAATGGACAAGAACAAACGACAAACACAAAACCAAAGTTAGAACTCTCAATCCATGCATATCTCTTCATACACCACTAAACCAAAAAACAACACCAAGACCCCCATAGAGATTACCTTCTTGACAACTTAATGAGTCTTCTGAAGGATGTCGAGCACACAGTCCTCAGAGATTCCTTCCTTGATCTTCAATCCTCTAAGATTGAATTAAACCAAGTCTACAAAAACCAAAAAAGGGAATGAACAACAAACAAAACTAGTTAGTACTATGCATGCATGTCTATATTGACACCACAAACCCAGAAAAAGTACACAAGAAATCAAGACCTTACCCAGAAGAACTTGGTCTCGAGTCTCGTCTCTGCCTCTCTGTCTCTGCCTAGAACTTGGTCTCGAGTCTCGTCTCTGACTCTCTGCTCGCTGGGGACTGGGTGTTCTGGATGTAAGAAGATGGCCAGATGATGAGAAACGAAGGTAGAACACTCGCTAGGAAATTCCCCCTATATATAGCAGTAGAAGAATCAGTTCATATTTTGGGTCTAACCTCAAAAATCGAATGAAAATAAAAGAAAGAAAGAGATGAGAGCATGATTCAACTCCTAACGACTCTTTTCTCAGTTTTCTGGGATGTGGTCGATGAAATTGTCGTCGAATGGTTGCTCCTCTTGCCATTTGATTGGAGGAATTGAAGACAGATGACAATTGGAATAGGAGGAAGTCTTTGAATTTGGAGATTTGGAGAGGGGAAAGGGCGAAACAGGCCGTGCCGTCCACGGGCTAGCACGGCACGACACGATTAGAGCATGGCACGAGTACGGGCACGAAATAAATGGGCCAACCCGGCACGAGCACGAATAATTTATGGGCCGTGCCGGGCGTAAACTTCATGGGCACGAGCACGGGCACAGTACGGTATATAAGTGGGCCGTGTCGGGCCTAATATTTTCGAGACTTTATTGAATATAAGAACGAATATGACAGGAAAATAATTTATTTGATAGAAAATAAATATAAAAAGAATTATAGGTTCAAATATTACAAAACACAAGTAGAAAAATAATTATTTGTTGTTGTTAGAAGTGTCATAAAGATATATACGTAATTACTAACATAAGTAAAAATGGACAAAAAATTAAACAAAGCCAAATCGCACTCGCTATACTTCCAATTTTCTTTCCCCCTGATTTGTTACTTTTCTCAAACATTATCGGTTAATACTATCTTCCTTCGTCCAATTTTCACCTTCTTTTTCATTCTCTCTTTTGTTTTCGTCCTTTTCATTAAACACGAATACAAGCATGGCACGAGCACGTATAGGCACGGCACGATTCGAACCGTGCCCGGGCCTGGGCCGGGCCTAGCAAAATTAACAAATGGGCTTGCATGACACGGCACGAAAACTAACGGGCCGTACCAAGCACGACACGAAATAAATGGGCCCGAAGCGTGCCCGTGCCGTGCCGGCCCAAGCACGGCCCAGCGCCCGTATACACTCTAGACCCTGAATGATCAATTGCAAGTGCTGAAACGATCTGTCAAGCAACAATGGGGAAAGTTTTCAGACAAAGGCTAGCCGCCGCCTTCGGGGGCTTGCTCGGTTCAGGACTACAGGCGCAACTGACCATGGACGACGGGGAAGGCCGAATTGTGCCGGCGCCCGGCGGTGAATAGAGATTCGGTAACTCGTAAACAGCGTACACCTCCACTAGAAATCAACAATTCGCTTATTGGTCCAGGGCCCATCTTAGTTTACTTCCTCCAATTGGGCTTTTGTCGTGCCAAGTCTGAATGGGCAGTAGTCGTCTTCGTCTACCACGTTTCAGTTTTGGTTCAGCGAGAACTGTGCGAAGCAGATTCATGTTTTTCATGCCCAGGTCCTTCCTTGTCTTCACTTCCTCGTCGGTTCCCAAATCGACGACGGCTGGGGAGTGGGGGCTGCAATGCAATTATGCAAACAACTCTTTGTCTCGCTGCTATTTTGGAGACCCCTCCACTCCACTCATACATCGTCCGTTTCCTTATTCACGATGATTGGGGTAGCCATCGACTGACGACTGCAATGCAAGCAACTCTCGCCTCGCTGCTATTTAGAGACCCCTCCACAGCTCCACTCCACCATATCTTCCGCACTGACAATTTAGCCGTCTCTGCATCGACCTTTCACAACAATAATGTGAAGTCTAAGTCTCACTGCTCCTGTTCTGTTACTTCACTAGCATGTTTGGGAAGGTGGGTCTACTGGTTTTTCACTCGTTTTTTCCCCTTTCCTGGTTTTGATTTCTTTGCAGGGACGGGGAAGGAAGAGGGTTGAAGCCGATGGACTCAGAGCAGCTGAGAGAGTATGGACACCAGATGGTTGATTTTGTTGCCGACTACTACCAGAATATCGAGAATTACCCTGTTCTCAGCCAAGTCGAGGTTCGCTGCTCTAAGTCTAACAATGGCAGAATGCCATCTTTTTTTATATACTATTTCCTGCTGTAATTTCTTACTTTCGAGTAACGGGGTTCATGGGATGATTGCCAATCTTGTGGCTGCAGCCTGGCTACCTTCTGAAACTGCTACCTGATGCAGCACCGAATCAACCTGAATCATTGCAGAGCGTCCTTGACGGTATGATCTGTATTTTTACATGAATGCTTTTAGATTTCCTAGTGTTTCCTTTTGAACATAATTTTTTGTTGGGGTTTTCATTTGGTTGTAGATGTTCAGTCGAAGATACTTCCAGGGGTGACTCATTGGCAAAGTCCAAGCTTTTATGCTTACTATCCTGCCAACAGTAGTGTTGCCGGGTTCTTGGGAGAAATCCTGAGTGCTGGGATTAACATGGTGGGTTTCAGCTGGATAACTTCTCCTGCTGCCACGGAGCTCGAGATGATTGTGCTAGATTGGCTTGGTAAATTGCTTAAACTGCCCCAGGAATTCCTCTCATCAGGTAACTGTTTTGCTTATTATAGACTTTTGCAGATTCTCTTGTTCGATTCGTGTATGTTCATGCTAGAGCTAGTTAATCCACAGCAAGGTCTTTGACCGAAAGTAACAGCATGTTGGGAAAATGGACTCGGGCAGTAAATCAGTTTATGTTCTACGCGGAAGCTAAACTGGTTAAACAATTTACAGAATTTTGATAGTAAGATGGGAACAGAGACCACCATGTTTCTGAAGATTGGTAACTCATTTTAACAGGACATGGTGGAGGAGTGATACAAGGAAGTGCAAGTGAAGCTGTTCTGGTTGTACTGTTGTCTGCTCGTGATAAGACGTTGAGGATGGTTGGCAAAAGTGCCCTTGGGAAGCTAGTTGTTTATGGATCTGATCAAACACACTCTGCGTTACAGAAAGCCTGCCAGGTATTTCTTGCTCACAATCTGCCTTTCGTGATTCTACCCTTATTATTACTATGCAAAAGTCTTTTTAGTGCTGCAGTATTAGCCAGATCGTTCTGTTAGCTTCTGGTTTCTGATATCTCGGACAATCATCCTTGTTACGTGAAATATTCTTTGCTTGTATTCTCTATGAGCATATGTCATTGAGTCACCACATCTATTGGACCAGTTCTCAAGTCCTCTTTAAACTGTTTTCTGCTTTGTATATGCATATACTGATTTAGAGATGACTACTAGTTACATTACAAAAATTGTGGATACTTTGGTTGATTTTGCCTATGTCTTGTACTCTTCTAATTGTGGCAGATAGCTGGAATTCATCCTGAAAATTGCCGGCTGCTGAAGACAGACTCGTCAACAGATTATGCTCTTTCTCCGGAAATAGTTAATGAAGCAATTTCACATGACATTTCTATTGGATTGATCCCCTTCTTTCTATGCGGAAATGTAAGAGAGAGAACCTGCCTTCTGCTGTTCTTTGATAATTCCTTCATCACGTTTACCATTGTTCTTAAATCTTAATCTGCCTCACCAAACTAGCTGGTTGGGCTTTTGTTCTGTGTTTCCATATTTGAAAAGGAAACAAACTGGAATTTTAGGTTCTATGTCTCGTAGTTCGAGTATATTCTGGATTTCTTTTGGACACTAACAAGGCTACCAAATCAGTTTAACATTCCTCGTAAGCAATGAACTTGTCATGCAGTGTTATCGCTGTTTGGTGGAAGTAGACTGGAAGCAAGTAGGTACATGATTACTTCAGTCCTGCATTATTGAACCTGCAAACCACCATATATCACGTAGACATTTTTTATATTTTTCCTTTTATAAGAGAGGTTAAGTAGACTGGAAGCAACTATTAAGAAGGTTACTTCTGTTCTGCATTATGGAATGCTATTGTTAATTTACACTAGTGTTGCAGTGCATGAACACGCCTAGTTGTTTATCTGTAGTATGTTGACCATAATTTCTATCAGATTATCTTTTTGCATATATCTGCAGGTAGGCACTACTTCGTCAGCAACGGTTGATCCCTTGTATTCTCTGGCCAAGATTGCCAAGGTTAGTATAACATTTTTACTAATATAATGATTCTGACAATATAATGATTCGGACTAATCAGACCTGCGATCATCCAGTAAGACTTGTTAGAAACAGGTGGGGAAAAATGCTTAAATAAGCATGTAAACTTGGAATTTTCCCCAGATACCTTAGTATTATAGGAACAAACCGAACTTTGTTTCATCCTTGTTTTCTACATCAAATGTTATTCTCAATATTACCAATGAATTGCATGGTATATATTTATGATTCACCTTATTATTATCCCATGTACAGAGTAATGGCATGTGGTTTCATGTGGATGCTGCATACGCTGGAAGTGCTTGCATATGTCCGGAATACCGCAGGTACCTAGACGGAGTTGAAGAAGCAGACTCTTTCAACATGAATGCGCACAAATGGTTCTTAACCAACTTTGATTGTTCTACCCTGTGGGTCAAGGTATTTAATCAACATCTTTTATCACATTTTGATATGGATCGTTTTGCTGGTTAAGTTGGCATCAGGGCCCCTTTCAGAAAAAGTAACAAGAAATCCTTTCAGAATAATAAATCAGAACTTCTAGTTAATCAGGAACTTCTTATGTAGTCCCAAAGTTTTCCTGCTGCTTCACTCTCCTCAAGCTAACAGTAGGTGGACTTAAGTAGTTAAGTTTGATACTGATACTTTTCACTGGACTACCCTCATCCATTGCTAACTTTTCTTGTATAGGCTTGCCTCTAGTTTCATGGTTACAATTTCAATTTACATGGATATTACGACTTACTGCTTTGTTAACGTATGATGATACCAGGACAGGAATGCTCTCATCCAGTCCCTCTCCACAAATCCAGAATTTCTGAAGAACAAGGTAAATTTTGTGTTTATTTACCTGCTAGTTACAGTTTTTGCATCTACCAATAATATTGTATCCTGGTCAGTGGGTCGTAATCGAGAGATCATTTTGAACATTATCAAAGCTTATCTAACTGCGGTTTAGGAATTTCTCGCGCAGTGGTAGTTGGATAATGTTGCATTTAAACTAAACCGTTCTTCATGTTTTCCCCCCTATCATATTTATAGGGCAGTTGGTTATTGGTAATATTTACAAGTGCTTAACATTGCAGGCCTCACAAGCTAATTTGGTGGTGGATTACAAAGACTGGCAAATCCCTCTTGGACGTCGGTTCAGGTTTTCCTTATATACTTTAGGCTCCGAGAAATTTATGATTCCATATAATGAAGGGTTGGTCATTGAAACCTGAATACCCGGGTTTGACACCTAACCTTATAAGATTTAGTTCTTACACCAACGCTTATCATTAGGTCATTGAAACTATGGATGGTACTACGATTATATGGTGTGGAAAATATACAGAACTACCTCAGAAATCATATCGAGCTGGCAAGATACTTTGAAGTGTGTGTTGGCCAAGACCCAAGATTTGAGGTAAAGGCCATTCCTCCCTTCCTCCATTTGGACAGTAGCAGATACATTGAATCATTTTGATCATTCTCCGTAGCTATCTGTGTGAACCATGCAGATTGTCGCCCCACGTAAATTTTCGCTGGTCTGTTTTCGCCTCCTACCTCCTGTGGACGACAATGAAGCTCATGGCAGCAACAAACTGAATCAGGACCTGCTGGAAGCTGTCAATTCAACCGGGAGAGTTTTCATAACACACACTGTAAGAATGACAGCACCTTTCCTCTGTAGTAGTTTATTCTATCACTTGAGCCACAAGAAACCCGCTTATAATATCACCATTAGTTGAATCACATGATGACGTTACTGCAATTGCAGGCCTTATCAGGGATGTACATATTGCGGCTCGTGGTTGGAGCGCCGTTGACGGAGAGGAGACATATATATGCAGCTTGGAAACTGTTGCAGGATGAAGCATGTACTCTGCTTTGTAGTCCACTTCAGGAAAATGGCAACCTCCCCAAGTCTCCACCACCTATTGGGTTTTTTGGGAATGGTTCTAAAGCAGAACCATTACCACAAAAGTGATAAAGCTTCTGTAGTTAGAAATCTGAAATCTTGGAAAATCTGTAGAAATCCATTGGGTGTGGTGTTGTTAGAAATTGCATATTTGGTGATTTAAAGGGAGAAATTGGGGATTTGGGATTGAAGAATAAAAATTGGGGAATAACAAGAAAAAATGGTTGTTGGTCCTTTAGAGAGAGATACACTAGATTTGAGAGAATAGAGAGATTAAGGTTTGGGATACATTCTATAATATTTGTCATTGATTGATTCCAATTAGAAGTTACTGGAAAAATTAATTAATAATCTAATACTTTTCGAATACTGCCTACCTTCATAATTATTATCATTATTATTTAATTAAAATCACAAACATCAACAATAGGGAGATACTGTTCCTTGTGAAAAAAACGCATCCAATTTACTCCAATGATTTTCGAAGGTACTGTTCCTAATGAATTTAATCTCTTAGTTCTTACATCCCTTTTGCCTATAAACTCTTCTGTATTTGCATCCTACAAAAGGTAGACAAGGATAATATCTTCACCATGTACCCCTACACCCAATTCTACTATAAGCTTTTTGTTATTGCATTATACAAAAGGATATAAGCTCTATGTTATTTGAATTGTACAAAAGTGTAAACAAAAATAATATTTCAAGATTTGTATCTCCAACACCCAATTTTACTATAATTTGCAATATACAAATATTTCGTATTATGTGGTCTCTATAACAGTTACGTAAATTACAAATACATTATGTAAAATGTATGGAGGGATAGTTATCTCTTATATTAACTTAAAAAATCATATTATTTAACTCTTTCACATTCATTAAGATACGATGACATCATTTCTTTAACTTGATTTTATTATTAGACCATATAATACAAAATATTTGTGTAATGCTATTGTATAACAATTATGTAAATTACAACTACATCATGTAAAACGCGTTGAGAGATAGTTATATCTTATATATCAATTAAAAAAATCATATTACGTAAGTCTTTCGCAACTATTAAGACATTATGTAATAGAGTGATAATTATTTATTACGTATCAATTAAAGAAACTTATTATGCAAGTCCTCCATAATTTTCGTTCGAATGAAATTTCATTTATGATTAACTAAACTATTGATGATCTTATCAATTTGCATTAAACAAATGTTAGTAAGGTAAGTTGTTTTTAACATAACAATTCAATCAAATATTATATTTTCCATAACGTAATTTCTCTATTATTAACTAAAATTCCTCCGTTATTAACTAAAATATCTAACATATCATCAATTTGCATTACACAAAAGTTTCACAAGGAAAGTTAACTTTTATTTAATAGTTTAATTAAATATGATATTTTTATAATTTGATTTTATTGTGTAACCACACATGGAATGTTCATTACGTCAAACTTATGAGGGATAAATATTCATTATATATCAATTAAACACTTGTATTACATGAGTCTTTCCTAATGATTAATTAGACACAATGTAAAGCTTACGAAAATATAATGATTTTTTATGTATCAATTAAACAAACACATGCAAGTATTCTGTAATGACTAATGCATTACATAAAGCTTATGGAGATATATTTATTTCTTATATATCACTTAAACAACCTATGATGTATGTATTTCCGAATGAATTAGACACTGCGTAAAGTTAATGCAAGTATCTTATCCGAAAATTTTGTGAATTATTTGGTTTTAACTAAATCATTAGATACGTTAATGAAATTTTAAATATAATTAGTGTCTTACCACTGCAAAGCGCGAGCCAAAAAACTAGTTATAAAATAACAATAATAATAATAATAATTACTATAATAATAAAGATGATGTAAGACCGATTTCAATCAAAGACTCTGTTTTAATTATATAGAAGAATTGAACATGATACTTTCATATTCAAAACTCATGTTATTACCACTAGGAGCAAACTCTATTTGATTACCTCAATCCGTGGTGTACCCAATATCCGTAGCTACAACATCGTCCTTGTCATGGAGGTCGCATTTCAGTCTGTCATTGACTTCGCTCAACTACCCATCGAACTTGCAATCTTCTCCTCTTTATCTCCACGTACAACAACTTCACCTGGTACATGGGCTTCTTGCTTCTGTGCCTTGAATCAAGTTTCCATGTTCTCTCTGCTTGCTTTTCATAAGGCTCGACAATCTACACAATTTTACTGATTCTAGCTGCTATTGCTGGCTTTGCTGGAAACCTAGCTTTCTAAAACAAGAACAGAAATAGAAAAGAGTATGAAGGAAAGGAAAACAAGTTTTGATCGTGAAATGCACAGCAAGTTAGACAAAGATATGTTTATGGGTTCTGGATTCTATATGTCTTAATGGGCTCCAGTTCTCATACGTAAGCCCACCTAGATTAGTGTCTAACTTATAGATTAAATTAGGGGTGGCAATACGGTCCGGTCCGGTTAAATTGGCCCAAATTGATCCGGTCCAGTCCGGTCTTTTTGAAAATATAAGGACCGAAGATTGGATTGGATAAGTCCGGTCTTGATCCGGTCCGGCTTTAATCCGGTCCGGTCTCAATTCGGTCTTGATTTTACATTGATATTGTGGAATTTGAGTGGTCTAAGGCCTTAAAGGGTGAGGAGTTGGTTAAGTTTTGTACTAAGTGCAAATGTTTGTGACCGTTTATGCAAATTACCCTTAAGTTTTGGGTGTTGAGCTCTCTTATCCGGTCTTTATCCAATTTTTTACCTCAAATCTAAACCCAAAAATTGGATTGGATTGTTTACTATCCGGTCCCGGTCCGGTTTCGGTCCGGGTTATACGGTCCGGTTTCCGGTTTTTAATCCGGCCCGGTCCAAATAGCCACCCCTAGATTAAATTAACTAGGCCTAGCAAACTGTTAAGACACAAAAACCAGGCCACTTATATCATCAATTGAAACACACAGTAAGTAGAACGTTGCCGTTCTTGCTCCAACTCCAAGTTCCTCCCTTTAAGGATTTTAGATCGTAAATCGCTTCCCTGCAAGTTAGTAAGAACAACCAAGAACACAACTCTCTAAACCCAGAATACTAATAAAATTCAAATTATATCAAATCGAGTTGTATATCGATCCAAATAACTTGCTCTGGTATCTCGCTTGGACTTCCTTTCTTCTTGCCAATCTCTAGTCAAACTCCCTGCAAAAATGAAACTTAAATAGAGCACACACTCTGCAGCACAAACCAGATAATTTAACAACGGAACAGAAATTACACATGGACAATTTTTACGTGGTATCCAGTGTTGGGAGAAAATGAAACCCAACCCTGACTAATCCACGGTCAGAGACTCGTTGTTCGCGATCTCCGACGATCCACTAGATGTTTTCGTTGAAGCTCTTCGAATACAAATGAACACTCCCGATTAGCTCTCCAGCCAATAGATCAAATCCAATCCCCTTGATCAACTCCCCGTCGATCAAGAACCCGGTATCTCCCAGATACCGTAACCTCGATCAACTCCCCGTCAATCGAAACCCCTTTTCCTATCAAAACCACTAGCTGAAACCCTCAACTCTCTTGTTTTGATTTCCCCAGAAAAGTTTTTCTTCTCTTCTCACACTAAGACTCTTTTTGTAGCCTCACGAACTCGACCGTTGCAGTTGAGAACTTCTTGCCATGTTGAGTCGATTCTGAATATCCTTGGAAAAGGTAAGTTTCTTCTTGCTTCTCAATCTTCTCACTTTGCCGTTCAGTTGGAAAAGGTAAGTGTCGTTCAGTTTGAATCCTTTCCATCTTTGATCGAAACATACTGTGAATTTACTTGAGCAGCAAGGTTGTGGGATTGCGGTTAAAATAACTTGGTTATTCTTGAAGCGAGTTTTTATTCTAGCTTCGTATCATCTAGCTTTCTATTGTTTAGAATGCATCGTTTTTTTGTTTTTTTTCCAGAAACAATGCATGGATTGTTTCCGTGATGTGACAGAAACTATCACTCAAAATGAGTGATTGTTATATCTCAACTTTTCATTGTGATTGTTGAGATAGTTGAGTTGAGATTGTTTTGTCTCAGCTTTTAGCTGACGTGACATAAATAATAAGACATACCAAACGTTGTATTCTACAATGCATCACATTCGACAATACATGTATAATATTATACATGTATTCACAACAATACATCCATTTAACAATCACAACTTCCAAACAATCCCTAAAATTCAAATTATATCAAATCGAGTTGTATATCGATCCAAATAACTTGCTCTGGTATCTCGCTTGGACCTCCTTTTTTCTTGCCAATCTCTAGTCAAACACCCTGCAAAAATGAAACTGAAACAGAGCACACACTCTGCAGCACAAACCAGGTAATTTAACAACGGAACATAAATTACACAGGGACAATTTTTACGTGGTATCCATCGTTGGGAGAAAATGAACTCCAACCCTGAATAATCCATGGTTAGAGACTCGTTGTTCGCAATCTCCGACGATCCACTAGATGTTTTTGTTGAAGCTCTTCGAATACAAATGAACACTCCCGATTAGCTCTCCAGCCAATAGATCAAATCCAATCCCCTTGATCAACTCCGCGTCGATCAAGAACCCGGTATCTCCCCGATACCGTAACCTCGATCAACTCCCCGTCAATCGAAACCCCTTTTCCTATCAAAACCACTAACTGAAACCCTCAACTCTCTTGTTTTGATTTCCCCAGAAAAGTTGTTCTTCTCTTCTCACACTAAGACTCTTTTTGTAGCCTCACGAACTCGACCATTGCAGTTGAGAACTTCTTGCCATGTAAAGTCGATTCTGAATCTCCTTGGAAAAGGTAAGTTTCTTCTTGCTTCCCAATCTTCTCACTCTGCCGTTCAGTTGGAAAAGGTAACTGTCGTTCAGTTTGAATCCTTTCCATCTTTGATCGAACCATACTGTGAATTTACTTGAGCAGCAAGGTTGTGGGATTGCGGTTAAAATAACTTGGTTATTCTTGAAGTCAGTTTTTATTCTAGCTTCGTATCATCTAGCTTTGTATTGTTTAGAATGCATCGTTTTCTTGTTTTTTTAGAAACAATGAATGGAATGTTTCCGTGATGTGACAGAAACTATCACTCAAAATGAGTGATTGTTATATCTCAACTTTTTGTTGTGATTATTGAGATAGTTGAGTTGAGATTGTTTTGTCTCAGCTTTTAGCTTATGTGACATAAACTATCAGACATACCAAACGTTGTATTCTACAATGCATCAAACTCAACAATACATGTATTCACAACAATACATCCATTTTACAATCATAACTTCCAAACAACCCCTAAAATTCAAATTATAACAAATCGAGTTGTATATTGATCCAAATAACTTGCTCTAGTATCTCGCTTGGATTTCCTTTCTTCTTGCCAATCTCTAGTCAAACTCACTGCAAAAATGAAACTGAAACAAAGCACACACTCTGCAGCACAAACCAGGTAATTTAACAACGAAATAGAAATTACACAGG